CTAAGGTCTAGTCATCGACAAAATAGAAGTAAAGGAGTAGTCGTGATACTATAAAGGTGCTTACTGAAGCTATAAAGGATTTATCTTCTTATATGGACCACTCAATGATGAAATTCTTAGGCCTCGTTTAGTATAATGGAAGAGTTTTTAATAAAATTGGAATTGAAATTGAAATCAAAATTAGAATCAAAATTAAAATTTAATTAGATTTTAAAAATATGATTGGTATGATGATGGAATCTTGATATAATTTTAAAAAGTATATGTATTTATAATTAAAAAGGCTAAAATGCCTTTGTAATATTTTTTTTAAAAAAATAAAAACTCAACATCACACAATTAGTGGCCATAGTACCATAGCACATATCAGAAAACCACACAAATATAAAGCTTCAAAAAGCCATAAATAAAAAACAAAGCATAAAAAACCTACACATATATAAAACCCCATGCATTGATCAAACCACATATTTGAAGAAATATGAGCATATTCCTTTGATTTCATCTTCTTCTTGGGTTCTTTTTCCCTCACTTCAATAGACATATATGGGGGAAGAAGAGGTGGGGGATGAAGAAGTGGAGGAGATAGTAAGGAGTAAGCTTCTTCTCTCAAATCTGGATGTCACTACACCTCAATGTCCATCTTGTGATAGTCAATGGAGATAAGGAAAGATGGGAGCATTATGATGGTCATTGGAGATTAGGGAAGATGGAAGAGAAGCAATAATAGTCAAAATTCATGCAAATTACACATGGCAGTCATTGGAGATTAGGAAGGTGGAAAAGATGACAAAATGAGGAGGGAGAGGCATCGATCAACATGAATGTAGAGGTAAGGAAGAGTGTTATTGATACACAAAAGAGCAATTTATGAAGGAAATGATTTCATCCAAAAACTGAGATGCTTTATAATGCTAACAAAGGTCCTATTTATACTACTTTAGGGAAGAACAAGTGTTAAAATGAAAATGAACAAGTTACAAGGAGTTTACACCATTTTTATTGCTTATTATGAGTATGTTATGCTACAAGTAATGAAATGCTTGAACAGTAATGTTATTTTGGTAATTGTTCATGTTTTCAAACTCATGCGTTGAAACTTCCATTTTAGAGAGGGTAAACATTTAATCAAGTATCGATTCTATATAATTGAATGGATTTCATGGGTGATGCTAAGGAATCTAATTTAGGGACTTTTGATGGAATCAAATTCCATAAGAATCATAATTGAGACATACCTAACATGCTCAGAGTATGAATCCATATCTGATTCCACTTCTTTCTTCCTAATTTTAGTATACCAAACATGGCCTTAAAGAATTTATATAGGGAATTTGTTGAAATGCGAAACGAGTTTAGAAGAATTGGTCCTATTGATTTAGACAGAGCAAAGGAAATATATAGGCACTTGTGAGAGTATAAGGACTCACATAAGTGAGATAAACAAGGCACATGAGATTACTGAGTCTCCACTACTTGTTGCATTATGTAATACTCTAAAATTCTACTCTTATTTTTTCCCAAATACAATTATAATTAACCCTTAACTGTTAAACACTTGTCATGATAGAAAAGTGTCTACTATGGTAATAAAGAGTAAACCATATTTTTCAAAATCCTACCTTAGTAGGAAGGGGCTATCATAGAAATTGAGAATAAAAATCATTTTTATAAAGTTTATCATGGTAGAAAGCTTTTCTTATAATAAAATATTTCTTAACATGAACTACCATAGTAGAAAATGATCTACTATGGTAAAACAAGGTTTAAACATAAAATAAGCATATCATGGTAATTAAACTAAATAGGTTACACAAATGAAAAACCAATGGAAAATAGTATCAACTAAAGTGAACCTAATGGGATCTCATTTAAAACCAATATGCAAAGTCCATCATTTGTTTAAAATCATAAAGAAGCATGAAGCATGGTTCCTAGGGCAGTTTGGTTCCAAACATTATACTGAGCACAATTAATAGTCATTAAGTAACTCAAGTATACGCCTATAACAAGTGCACTAAACTCTAGTTAGATAACCACACGTTCCAAACACAAGGTTAATATTTAATACCCAAAATGGGTCCAAACAATGATATTTACACCTTAGTACCATGATACAACCAAAGTCCATTATAAGGTATACATTTGACGATAACCCATCTACATTTAATGTCATCTAGCAAACATATTTGAAATCAAAAGGAAAACTAAAGCCATAATTGGGTATAGATATAACTAACAAATCAAGGTTCCCAAAAATTTGATCATGGTATCAATATTTCAAGTAAACAATCAAAATCATGAGGGACATACAAAATCCCCATGGTAAGGTATGTCGACTCAATCAAAGGCCGTAAGGGATAGATGGGATCCCCAAGGCAATATATATGAAGATGATCAAAATCTAGAGTCTACATGATCAACTATAATTATAATTTACTCTAGGTTGGCAAATATATATTACGTAACCAAAAAGAGACAAGACAAAAAAAACCGGTTTCTCATACACTAACCTAGGCCTTTAGTACTTTCTCGGCTGGACTGGATCTTGTAAAAATGTTAACATAGAGAATAAGATGCAAAGGTCTCGGAATTAATACGCAAGGATGCATGTGATGCAACTAACTATGTATTTGCTAAGTGGGCAAACAAGAATGATTTTTCAAACATATAATATCCAAACAATTTGAACAAAAATAATATTACATGACAACACCTTATATCCCTTTTGTCCATAGTGCTAGAAACTAAGTTACCTAGCCAAAAATGAGTCAATCTAAGCTAAAAGCTACTCATTTGGTTTAATAAGAGCTTACCATGTGGAAAATAAACTCCAGACAAAATCCCCAATGACACATACTTAAAATCTCAACATGTCATGCATATTTCAAATATTTTTATAGGGGTGTCAATTAAGGCCAACCCAGCCCTAATGGGCCGGACGTAGAAAGGCCAAGCCTAAACAGGCTAGCCCTATAAAGTTTGATTATACCTCATGACTCTATTTTGGTTAGCCCGGCCCTATATATTTTTTTATTTTTAATTTAAAAATATAAAAAAAACATATTTAAAATCTCAAAAAAAATTATTACATATAACATTAAATATATAAAAATAAATTTAAGTCTAATAAAAAATAATATTACAAAATTAACACCGATAACAATTAGACTTCACTACCATTATCAGTGAAATCTTGATGATTTTTATTGTCATCAACATTAATATAATTTCATTCTTCTTTTTATGGAGCCTCAACAATGGCAAAGATATTAAGCTTTTCATATATGCCTTTTTCATCCCCATGAAATGAGGTTAGGATTTTAAAATTAATGTAGTATTTAATTTTTTTAATATTAAAATTTTAAAAAATTATAAAAAGGGCTTAAAAGGGCAGGCTCTTTTATTTTAAGGCTTAAAGCCTTAATTATCATTTTACACTTTAAAGTAGCTTCTCGACCCTAAATTTTTTAGGCTTAAAAGGGCCAGCCTGATAGGTTTAGCCCTAATTGATGGCTTTTTATTTCTAAATAAAGCATATCCAAACAATATCATATTTTTGAATAGCAATATTATACCACACATACTGCTCATATACAATCCAACCCACTTGGCAATAAGTTTTTTAAACAAAAATATATTATTTCCAAACAAGCATATTTTTCCAAACAATAAAATCACACATAATCAATTACATATACACGCACACCCCATTCAAAATAATAAAACACACATAATCAATCATATACATAAAAATATATTATTTCCAAACAAGGATATTTTAGTTTCTGGGTATTTACTCTATTTTAATTTTATTTCTAACGCTTTATGCTTGCCTTATGTATTTAAAAAAAATACACACACACCATCACATATTACTAATGGTTACCTTGTAGCTTGGTTAACAAGTTTCCCTTCACATCAACACTTTCATTACCATGGTTATTAAAATCAGATCGGACCAGCCGGTTTGACCAGTTCGACCGGGAACCGGCCTGGTATCCGGTCTGGAGATGATGCAGAATCGGGGGGAGGGAGAACCGGACAGGAACCGCCTGAACCAGCTTTAAATCGAACTGAACCGAGAGAACCGGCGGTTCAGGCGGTCTAGTTTTTTTTCTCCTTCCTAGTTTTATAAAACGGCATCGTTTCTGCGGTCCAGTATTTTGTTTTTTCTCCTTCCCAGTTTGACCATTTTTTCATTTCAAACTCAGTTTGGCATTCCTCTACAGTCTTCATCACTCATACCCTAGCCTTCATCGTCTTCGTCATTCCTCCACAATCCTCCGCCATCACCTTCTATTTCTGCTACGGCGTCGTCATCCTTCCTCACCTAAACCCGAGCTTCCATCATCTTCTAGCCATTCTCACTTCCTCTAATTTCTCGTTCACTCCACCCGAGCCTCCATTCATCTTCGTGAGGACTGGTTCATTGCCATCGAGAAATTTCCACTAGCGCCACTCATCGTCACCCATTTCTTCTGCATTTCTTCATCCATTTTTGTTCTCGTTGTAGACCACCACAGCTCACGCCATTTCTGAGCTTCCTTATTATCGATTCATCTCTATTCTTCCCCTGTTCTTCACCACCTCACTTTCGTCTAGTTCATCGCTTGGGTTATGCATTTTGGGTGCTGTGATTTTGTGCTGGATTTTTGGGTTGCTGTTTCGAGCTTCCACAAAATCAGTCCGGTGAACCTCGCGAGCTCTCATCTAGTTATCTTGTTCGCGTTCCTCCCTCTCCTCTGTTCGTCATATTTTCTTTAGTCTCGGGCCTCTCAGCTGACCTCTCATTTCAGCATTTTCTAGTCTGATCAAGTCCATTTCCAGCATCTTCTGCCATCTTCAATCTTCATTAACAGGTTAGAGCTCTTATTCTTGAAGCTTAATCAAATGATAGTTTAAGAAATAATTGGTTATGAATCTGGACATCTGGTGCTGATTACTGATTGCTGATTTAATAATTTTGATTATATTTTAATTAAGCTTAGTTGTTTTTTATGGATTTGGAACCTCCCACTCTTGCCACTGAGCCCAATGTGCAAGTTAATAATCCTGATCCTACTCCTGTCATTGACACTCCCTCTGGCTTAACTCCAAATAGTAATAGCACCCCACAAACTGCTATTGGTTTGAATAGTAATGATGCCTCCGGGATTCAAGTATCATCTATACCATCTCTTCGGGGGAAAAGTGATCCTACATGGGAGCATTTTGCTTTTAAAAAAGAGGGAAGAACTTGTGTGTATACTTGCCTTCATTGCTCCTCATCATTTAGAGGAGGTGGGATCAATAGGATGAAGCAACATCTTGTAGGTGTTTCAGGAAATATAATTTCTTGCAAGAAGGTTCCACATGATGTTCGCCATAGAATGGTTCAATCTCTAAAAGAAGTGTCATTGGCAAATAAGAGGAAGCTTGATGATCCAGACATGCTTAAAGAGTTTGTTGATAACTCAGAATGTGAAGTAATTGCTCCAAATCCAGAGCCAAGTAAGCAAGCTAAGAAGGCAGGTTTTAGCAGTGTTGTTGTGAAAAAAAAAGGAAAAACTAGCGGGGTTGATAATTATTTTGCCTCAAGGTCAACTTCTGGCTCCCAACCAGGGCTAAAGAGTGTGTGGTCATCTAAAGAAGCTCAGTATAAAGCTAAATTAGCCATTGCAAAGTGGTTATATATGAATTGCATTCCATTTAATGCTGTAAATTGTCCATATTTTTTGCCTGCTTTGGATGCAATTGCTGCAATTGGCCCAGGTTTTAAAGGTCCTTCATTTGAGGAGTTAAAGGTTGACCTGTTAACTGATTGTAGAAAAGAGTGTCAACTATTTATTGAAAGCCACCGAGCCACTTGGAAAGAAAGTGGCTGCACACTCATGGCTGATGGCTAGACCGACAAAAGGCAACGGACATTAATAATTTTTTGGTTTATTCTCCTGTTAGCTTGGTTTTTGTAAAGTCTGTTAATGCTTCACATATAGTCAAGGATGCCAAGAATTTGTTTTCTTTGTTTTGTGAAGTTATTGAGTGGGTCGGTCCTACAAATATAGTGCATGTTGTGACTGATAATGCAGCAAATCATGTAGCTGCTGGCAGGTTGATTCGTGAAAAATATAATTATATCTATTGGTCACCTTGTGTTGCTCACTGTTTGAATCTTATTTTGAAGGACATTGCAAGCATGCCCCATGTCGCTGACCTTATAACAAAGGCATCAAAAATTACTGTTTTTGTGTACAATCATGTGGCTTTCTTTCATGGCTTAGGAGAAGAAATGGCTGGACAAAAATTGTGTGCCCAGGAGTGACTAGGTTTGCTACTACCTTTATTACATTGAAAAGTTTGCATGAGCACAAGCATGACTTGCAAGCCTTGGTCTTAGATAAACACTTCCATGATAATAAACTATCAAGGACTAAAGTTGGGCAACTAGTTGGTGACATTGTGTTGGACAAGAAGTTTTGGGATGATTGCCATCAAATTGTATGTCTTGTGGGTCCTCTTATCAAGCTACTAAGAATTGTAGATGCTGATGAAAAACTGTAACCCTTGCCCCGAGTGTTATCCAAAAATCACACAATTCAAATAAACTAAGTGTGGTTAAGGAGTTAATCCTAAAACCAACTTAGGAAACAAACCATTTAAATCACTAAGCAAATATACGATTGCAAAGTAAACATTTAAAACCTTAAAAAAAATTATAGGTTCTAACTATAGCGCACGGAAGCAAGTTAGACGAAAGAGAAATAAAAAGATACTGTCATGACAGCATTTAAATTGCTGTCATGACAACCCTCCTGAGTCAACTTCTGGGAGGCGTCGTTCCGCCATCCGACCTCCGATCGAAGTGATTTTAAAGCTCACACGTCACATTCAAAGGGTACTATAAGTATACCAAATTTCAAAAAGATCCAACGGTCAGATTTAAAATTAGACATGTTAAAAATTTGATTATTTTTGCTGTCATGACAGCTAAAAAGCTGTCATGACAGCACTTCCGGACCAACTTCCGGAGTGCACCATTTCATCATCTGACCTCCGATCGGAGTGATTCCAAAGCCCACATGTCACTTTTAAAGAATACTATTAGCATACTAAATTTTGAAAAGATCCAACGGACGGATTAAATTTTGTGCAGGTTATAAAATCAATACTATAGCTGTCATGACAGCAAATTAATGCTGTCATGACAGCACCTCCAGACCAAATTCCGGAGTGCATCGTTTCTCCGTCCGATATCCGATCGACGTGATTCCAAAGCCCACACGAAGCTTATAAAAGGTTTCACTTGTGACCCAAATTTTAGAGAAATCCAACGGTCGGATTAAGATTTGGACACCTGGATTCAAAAGTGCAGCTTTTGGTAAAAACCATTTTCAAAATTGTCCAAATCCCATCCTAATGGTCACAAACCTGTGGAAACACTTTGGACACGTCAAATAAGATTAAAAACACCTGATAGAACATTCAAATGATGGAAAACCCCCATACATCAAAATTTGACCACCCGGGTGCCATTTCCCAAAATGGACCCTAAACCCCCAAAATGCACAAATCATACAAGAGTGGTCACAAATCAATCCAAATACCATGTATTTATATAAATACATATGCTAAACATTTTCACTTGGCTCAGAGCTCCTTGTGGGGCCCACGCACCCACTCTCTCTATCCAAGGTGTATGTTTGCCCATAGCACACCATTTGCAATGCAACCACTTTGCATTTGCTTATAAAATCACATATATATCAAAACAAAGATCTGCTTGTAATAGAAACTTGGTCTACTAAGTAAATCCATCAAAACCACATACCATAACCAAGTTTCCTAGCCACAAGTCTGCAAACAGACAAAAATTTATACACAAGCACACAATCCACACATATTCACACACACATACATAATCATATCCTACTGGCACCCTAATCTTAAATACATTACAATATATTTGCTCAAAAGAAAGGGGTTGTAGTTCTTTACAAATCACAAGCAAACCCTAGCTTTGCTCCTTTCCCCGTCCACCACTGGATCCTTCGCCTGGACCTAGAATATTGAAAAGAAAGGGGTGAGACAACCACAGTCTCAGTAACAGCGAAATTTACATTGATTATTACAAAGTAAGCCATAATCAAATAAACGAATAATAAATTCAACATAGTATATAATTTAGCCATTTAAAATGCATGAATGCATGACCTAGGCCGGTATGGCCTTTCATGACCAACAGAATGCCCCCTGGCACTCTTTAACTCGCAGGTAAACCTTATACCTACTTGTACCTCCACAAGCACAAAACATAATCTAAGGCATGATCTAATCCACCGAACCGCCTATGCCCCTTCGACGTGAATCCTGAGCAGTCAAAGCTAACTCCCTCCCAGAGCCAGCCCGACTTACTCTCCATGTGAGGGCTACCTTGGCCTAGGCACTCAACCTCACACTTCATATGTCGGATTCCCTCCCCCACTGAGAGGTGTCGAACACTCAATACACTAACCACTTTAGTGCACTGAGCCCACAATACGTAAGACAACACTGAGTACTGACAGTGTGCCATAGAATATCAAAAATCCACACCTTCTCATTGGTGAACTCCCACCGAGATCATGCCTTTTACTCTTGTCTACCTTTCCTGAGTATTGACCATTCAACACTCTAAAGTAGTATAATATTTATAAATCTCATTTCCATAAAAACATTGTTATTAAACAATTAGAAAACATATTTGCACTATAATCAAAGTAGTACCCCATAACCCCTTATAAAGCACATTTAATCTTTTAAAACATGTAATGCATGATAACTAGTAATATTTATTCAAAAATAGCTAAAACAAAGTAATAAGAAATATAAATTCCCCTGTTACCTCAACCCTTTGGTACCAAAAGGGTTCCCTTTGTACAAAATAGGGCTCGGCTTGTTCCTTACTTCTCAATAAGTTCCACCAACAATTTTCTACAACATATAAGTGATCCACATCACTTATCATGACAAATAGCATTAATGAAGACTATAACTCATACCACACAACTTGGTCTATGAGTCATAATCCACCCTAATGGTCCATATATTAAACCAACCATTCACATAGTATCACTTAACCACCAAAACCATTTATTAGCCATCACTAGGCTAATTTTCAATTTATATAATTTTTTTTCAATTAAAAACCTTCACTTAGTGTCACCAACTTTCACCATTAGCCCTTATAATGAAAACCAAACCTTAATTTAAATCTTATTGGGCTCAAATAGCAAAATTATAACTAAATCAATAAGCTTAAACCATTGAAGAGCAAAAACCCAATTTCTCAAGGTTTATTTTGTGCCCAAAACACCTCTTTTCATCCAATTATCCACTCAAAATATTAGATCACTATATAGAAATTCAAAACATGCTCCCTAGGATCCAAAGAAACAAAAGCTTACAAGAATAAAGCCTTTGGGATCAAAATCCAAAAATTTCCTCTTCCAAAAATTGAAGAAAATCAAGAGAAAGAGAAGAGGATTGAAGTAGGGAGTTTACCTATCGTGTAGCCGAGCTTGCAACGGTCGCAAAGACTCCTAGATCCAAGCCTAACTCCCTCCCTTTCTCTTCTCTTCTTCCTCTCTCTCTCTCTCTCTCCCGTTTGTGCGTTTCTTTCCTTTCTCATTTTCTCTGCGTTTCTGCATCAGTTTGGCCTTTAAATTGCTGGTCAAAAAGTTTGTGGAAAATTACAAGAAAGGGCCCAACATTTTTTATTATTGCACAAAAGCCCGGGTCAACTTTGGTAATTTTTCCCATAGTTAAAAATCAAATAAAACCAAACTTTTGCTTAGTAAAATTCAAACTCTGGGCCTCTATTAAATTATTCTAAATTTTAATTTAATTATAGATATTTTATTTTATTTTTATTTATTTTTTTATAAATTTGAGTCTTAAAATTTTTAGGATGTTACAAAAACCATCTTTGGGTTATGTTTATGAGGGTATGCAGAGAGCAAAGAATTCAATCAAAAATTTTCTTTGCAGAAAGAAGGAACAATACAAACCTTACACAAGCATAATTCAAGCTCGGTGGGATAAGCATTTAAGTGTGATTTACATGCAGCAGCCTACTTTTTAAATCATGCATTCTTGTATGATCAAGGATTTATTGAGAAGAGTAGATTGACAAAATCAATGTGGACTATTTTTCAATATACAAGTCTACCTATAAATATTCTGACATGATTTCTGAGATGCAAATGTACCGCAAGCGTCAAGGCTCTTTTAGTCGAGAAGAAGCTCATAAAGTAGCAAATGAAATACAACCTGGTTAGCTTCTTCCTCTTTTTTTCTTTTATTATAATTTTAAATATTAACTACTATTAATTTATTTGAATTTGATGTAGATGTCTGGTGGCAATGTTTTGGGGGTAGTGCTCCAATATTACAAAAGTTTGCAATTCGCATTTTGGGACAAACTTCTTCTTCAGGATGTGAAATAAATTGGAGCCTATTTGAAAGAATTCATACCAAAAAAAGAAATAGGCTAGAACATGAAAGATTGAATGATCTTGTATTTGTTAATTACAACTTGCGTTTGCTAAACAGGTGATCATTAATCATTACTCAAATTTGAAATAACTCTCTTTGGCTTCAATAATTGAATGATTAGGGATTTGATTGTGATTTTTAATATATATGTATAAGGTCAAAATTGAAGAAGGTAAGCTATGATCCTGTTGATTATGAATCAATTGATAAGCTTGAGTATTGGATAGCTAAAGAAGTTCCAACTCCAAATCCTGATTTCACTATTGAGGAAATTCAAAATGAAGATTTTCTTGGTGGAAATGCATGTCCCTCTGGATCTAGTCTTGAATTAAGGGAAAATGAAGGTTGCTCCTCTTGTTTTTACATTAAAGCTATGTTTGATTTATAGTTTATTCATTCATTATTTATATGTCAATGCTAACTATTTTTTTGTCAAATATATGTCTAGGTGTTGTTGAAGATGTCAATGTTCTGCAATCTTCTATTTTGGATTCATCAAATGCTATAAGAGTTGAAGGAGATGTTTGTGATCTCCAACATGATTTTAGAGAGTTTAATTTAGAAGATTTATATGGCAATTGAATGTTGTAGTTTTTTAGTTGAATTTGGACCATTGGATTGTATGATAATGTTAAACTATGGTGTTGTGTTGTGTATGGCCATGAATGACTTTGAAGTATGCCTTTAAACTTTAAAGTATGATGAAATTATCACTTTATTAGTAGTTAGTTACTTTAATTTATCATATTTCCTATAATTTTTAATGTATAATATTTAAAATATATTAAT